CGCCTCGTCATTTGTAGTATCCACGTAGTCAACATCTCACCTGCGTCTCGGTACGCTCTGGTCATCCACACATCTAACGAGGTCGACAGCATCCCCGACGTGATCAAGAAGATTGTGCGCAGAGATGGCCCTAGTCGACACGGTACCATGAAGGATCGGGCAGCAAGTGGTTAGGAGGGTGCGTTACTCACCGTCGCAAACGTTTTCCGGCACTCCCTGTGTGTCGCGTCAACTCACGGTCCACGGCGCGGTCCGTTTGCATGAGCGGTGAACGTAAGACACGGTCTTCGTCTTCTATCGCAGCGGCATGGCCCCGACGCGCGGTCTGGTTTCGGTACGAGGTGGTGCGCTCAATCGTTCGGCATTGACGCATTCAGCGCGGAGGGCTGGTGAAGTACCGTCGATGAGACGGTCGGGTTGTTTGTGAGGCAAGACCTTCTGTTTGCATCAAGGAGAGCGGGCTGGTACGGGCGAGGGCGAGTTGGATGGCAGGAGATGAATGTAAAGGGATGACAATGGGAGAGGAGGGCGAGCGGATCGTCGGCGATGGAGGGATTCGATGGCGGATAAGGGTCGCATGGCACAGGGATGTTATCGAGGTGTTGGAGGAGAAGGGGAGGATGATGAGGGAATGTCGAAAGTAGCTGGAAGGGAATGGAATACAGTTCAGTGTGACTGAAACAAAAGCGGCTTACCAGGCTTTGCGAATGAGCTGCAGCATTCGACGTGCCCCTGTAGCCTGTGCTACACCCCTGTACTCTTGAAAGGGCCATGTCTCCACGATACTGCACGGTCGTATCTCGCCGAGATATATCTGGCAGCCATGGCATGTGCGCGTCTTGGACAGTGGGCGCAACGCGTCGGAGAGTGGACAGGTGGCGCGCGGATTGGACGGCTTGCAGGGGAACAGAGAGTGCGCGTCGGGACAGGTACGCATGGTGGACACAGGCGGGGGATGAGCGCAAGCGAGTGAGACAGGGCAGGTGAGATGATGGGCGCCTGCATATGACGCGAAGTGGGCGCTTCCATCTGGACGGTCACTAGCCTTGACATGCCAGACAGAGATTCTCGATCACTCTCTCACGTACACAATACTGACGGCACACACTACCCCTCCAGTAGTCCCTACAAGATGCCTTCCGTGACCCGTCCTCGCCATTCCACCTACCGCCCGGCACGCAAGGCCCTGCCTCCCCAGATCCCCCTGCCGAGTTCCTGCACACTGAAGCCCAGGAGACGCGGGCGGAGCAGGCCCGCACAAAGATGCTAGAGCTGGGCTACGACCCGAGCAGCTTCTGGGAGCAGCGGATCGTGTGGGGTGACCACGACGCATTCCAGTCAGTCAACCCCTGACCTGTCCGTTTGCATCATCTGAACACGAGCCATCCAGACACGTAAACAACGTGCGCTACAGTACGTTCGATGC